CACTGATGAATATAGATGCAAAAATCTTCAACAAAATACTAGCAAACAGAATCCAACAACACATTAAAAGGATCATACACCATGAATAAGTGGGATTTATCCCAGGGATGCAAGGATTCTTCAATACATGCAAATTAATCAATGTGATACACCATATTAACAAATTGAAGAATAAAACCATATGATCATCTCAATAGATGCAGAAAAAGCTTTTGACAAAATTCAACACAACACCCTTTATGATAAAAACTCTCCAGAAAGTGGGCATAGAGGGAACCTACCTCAACGTAATAAAGGCCATATACGATAAACCCATAGCAAACATCATTCTCAATGGTGAAAAACTGAAGGCATTTCCTCTAAGATCAGGAAAAAGATGAGGATGTCAACTCTCGCCACTATTATTCAACATATTTTGGAAGTCCTAGCCACAGCAATCAGAGAAGAAAAAGAAATAAGAGGAATACAAATTGGAAAAGAAAAAGTAAAACTGTCACTGTTTGCAGATGACATGATACTATACATAGATAATCCTAATGATGCCACCAGAAAACTACTAGAGCTAATCAATGAATTTGGTAAAGTTGCAGGATACAAAATTAATGCACAGAAATCTCTTGCATTCCTATACACTAATGATCAAAAATCTGAAAGAGAAATTAAGGAAACACTCCCATTTACCACTGCAACAAAAAGAATAAAATACCTAGGAATAAACCTACCTAGGGAGACAAAAGACCTGTATGCAGAAAACTATAAGACACTGATGAAAAAAATTAAAGATGATACCAACAGATGGAGAGATATACCATGTTCTTGGATTGGAAGAATCAGTATCGTGAAAATGACTATACTACCCAAAGCAATCTACAGATTCAATGCAATCCCTATCAAATTACCAGTGGCATTTTTTACAGAACTAGAACAAAAAAAATCTTAAAATTTGTATGGAGACACAAAAGACCCCAAATAGCCAAAGCAGTCTTGAGGGAAAAAAAACGGAGCGGGAGGAATCAGACTCCCTGACTTCAGACTATACTACAAAGCTACAGTAATCAAGACAATATGATAGGGCTTCCCTCGTGGCGCAGTGGTTAAGAATCCGCCTGCCAATGCAGGGGACACGGGTTCGAGGTCTGGTCCGGGAAGGTCCCACATACCACAGAGCAACTAAGCCCGTGTGCCACAACTACTGAGCCTGTGCTCTAGAGCCCATGAGCCACAACTACTGAAGCCTGCACACCTAGAGCCCGTGCTCCACAACAAGAGAGGCCACTGCAATGAGAATCCCACGCACTGCAAAGAATCCCCGCTCGCCACAACTAAAGAAAGCCTGCGTGCAGCAATGAAGACCCAACGAAGCCAAAAATAATAAATAAATAAAATGAAAAAGAAAAAAAAGACAATATGGTACTGGCACAAAAACAGAAATATAGATCAATGGAACAGGATAGAAAGCCCAGAGATAAACCCATGCACCTGTAGTCAACTAACCTATGACAAAGGAGGCAAGGATATATAATGGAGAAAAGACAGTCTCTTCAATAAGTGGTGCTGGGAAAACTGGACAGCTACATGTAAAAGAATGAAATTAGAATACTCCCTAACACCATACACAAAAATAAACTCAAAATGGAGTAGAGACCTAAATGTAAGACTGGACACTGTAAAACTCTTAGAGGAAAATGTAGGAAGAACACTCTGACATAAATCACAGCAAGATCTTTTTTGATCCACCTCCTAGAGTAATCGAAATAAAAACAAAAATAGACAAATGGGACCTAATGAAACTTAAAAGCTTTTGCAAAGCAAAGTAAACTACAAACAAGACGAAAGGACAACCCTCAGAATGGGAGAAAATATCTGCAAATGAATCAATGGACAAAGGATTAATCTCCAAAATATATAAACAGCTCATGCAGCTCAATGTAAAAAAAAACCAAACAACCCAATCAAAAAATGGGCAGAAGACCTAAATAGACATTTCTCCAAAGAAGACATACAGATGGCCAAGAAGCACATGAAAAGCTGCTCAACATCACTAATTATTAGAGAAATGCAAGTCAAAACTACAATGAGGTATCATCTCACACCAGTTAGAATTGGCATCATCAGAAAATCTACAAGCAACAAATGCTGGAGAGGGTGTGGAGAAAAGGGAACCCCCTTGCACTGTTGGTGGGAATGTAAATTGATACAGCCACTATGGAGAACAGTATGGAGGCTCCTTAAAAAACTAAAAATAGAACTACCATATGACCCAGCAATCCCACTACTGGGCATATACTCAAGAGAAAACCATAACTCAAAAAGACACATGCACCCCAATGTTCATTGCAGCACTATTTACAATAGCCAGGTCATGGAAGCAACCTAAATGCCCATCTACAGTCACATGGATAAAGAAGATGTGGTACATATATACAATGGAATATTACTAGCCATTAAAAGGAACGAAATTGGGTCATTTGTAGTGAAGTAGATGGATGTAGAGACTGTTATACAGAGTGAAGTAAGTCAGAAAGAGAAAAACAAATACCGTATATTAACGCATATATGTGGAACCTAGAAAAATGGTACAGATGAACCAGTTTGCAGGCAGAAATAGACATAGATGTAGAGAACAAAGGTATGGACACCAAGGAGGGAGAGTGGCGGGGGGCAGGGTGGTGGTGGTGGGATTAACTGGGAGATTGGGATTAACATGTATACACTAATATGTATAAAATGGATAACTAATAAGAACTTGCTGTTTAAAAAAATAAATTAAATAAAATTCAAAAAAAAATAAAAGACACATTCCTTATTGAGAAGTTAAAAAAAACAAAAAAGACATATGGGCAAATATATCAAATCATTACGTTGTACACCCTGAACTAACACAGTGTTACACGTCAGTTATATCACAATAAAACTGAGGGAAAAAGATATATGTACAAGAATGTTCACTACAGCCTTTATTTAATAAGACTTGGAAAAACCCTAAATGTTTTCTCTAAACAAAATGGCTGAATAAATTATACACCTACATAATGAAGCAGTGATATAGACTTGAAAAAGAACAAGGTAGTTCCAATGTTACTGAATTGGAAAGATAATAGACAGCCAGTATAAAGTATAAAAAGCACAGTGTAAAGTGTAAAAAGACTGACGACCGTCTTTCTGTAGTTTAAATTTTTTATAATTTAAAAAAATGGTGGGGGAAAATTAGATGCTTTGCCTTCTTCTGAGGAAGAATTTCGGAAGTCTGGACAGTTGAACCCTCTCCCTCCCCAACCTACCATATCTCATATCTGACCTCAAGCAGTTTTCTACCTGCACTGCTAATACATCCTTTTCCTCTATGTGACTCAGTGGTTCCAAGATATCTTCTGATATAAAAGATATATCAGATATATCTTTTACTGATATAAAAACAATATTAAAGTGTATATTTAAATTTTTTTAATTATCCTTCATATTACTATTACTCATTTTTGCATATTCCTATGTTGGAAATCCCTTGTTGATATAAATCAACGTCACAATTCAGTGTTATTCCACCTCTCCTGAACTACAATCTCGTTTAATTTTAGACAATGAATACCTTTCCTTGTTTAAAAAATGTACTTGTATCTTAGTATATTCATAAATCTCAGCCAACCAAGTTTCACAGGTCATAACAAATTTGTGTTAAGATTTCAAATTTCCTTTATTATTATTTTGTGTTATCATATAGACAGATGGAAATAAGAGATCATAGCATTGTGTTCACCCACTTTCCCAGGCATTCTCTCTTGAAAAATACTGGGTACTTCATTACTGTTCTATGTCAGGGGTCAGCGAACTATGGTCTGCTACCTGTGCTTGTACAGCCCACAACCTAAAATATGTGTTTACATTTTTAAATGATTGGGGGTAAAATCAAAAGGAGAATAAAATTTCAAGGCAAGTGAAGAATTTATATGAAATTCAAATTTCAGCAACGCTCACTCATTTACTATAGTCTAACGCTATTTTCATACTACAAAGACAGAATTGAGTATGGGCAACAAAGCCAAAAATATGTCCTATTTGGCTCCTTACAGGAAAGGTTTGCCAAACCCTGTTCTATGACATAGTACATGCCCTTCATAATTTTATAGTTTTACCTAGACATTCTCCCCTCTTTCCTTCCATATTGAGCGTAAAGTCATCTTAATAATCTATTAGTCTCCAGGCCACCACATTCTTCATACTCCTCAGAAATGCACTTCCTCCTGGAAATTTGCTTAACATTACCACACCCCTGGCCACCTACAAACAGAAAGCCAGAATGAAGTGCTAGCCAACTCCTTAAAAGTTACAAATCATAACCAGAACCAAACCTCACCACGCTCCCTAAAAAGTAAGGATAAAGAAGCTGACCGCCCAATTTGTGGCTTTCAAACTACCCTACCTTAGAATGAGGCAGTCCATGAACTAAAAAGAGTACTGCTGCTAAAATTCCCAATGGTCAAATAACAATGAGGGAAAAAAAAGTTAATAAATGTAATTTTATCAAGCTTAATCCTCTTCAAATCACTGCTACTGAAAAAAAGTGAATAAAAACTAAAGAACAATGAAGAAAAAGCAGACCAGCTGTATTTAGCATGCCTGACCCTAAATCTTTATACTTCCCACATGAGATATTTTCTGCAAATAAATAGTTCCTGGCTCCCAGGATGAGAGGTTAAATACTGCACAGTGTTTGTAAACAGCATCACAACTTACACAGGAACAAGTTGGGCCACTGGGCCATTTCACCTCGAAGGGTACACCAAAATTTGTTCATTTCTTTCGGTTAGCATTCTGTATGCCAAGTGTTGCCAGAGAGTAGGCGGGGCAAGCTGCGTTTTCAACCAGCAGTGTCTACTCTTAGCACTAACTCCTGCCCAGCCGCGGCACACCTTTCCCCAGCCCCAACTTCTCCCCAGTCCCATCACCCCTTTACCCAGCATCCACTCCTCCCCAGCTCCATCAACTCAACTCAGCACCTCCTCCCTCCCAGTCTCATCACACCTCTGTCCACCGACTCTTCCTCATCGTCTCGCCCTCGTCCTCCAAAGTCACAAGGCTGCGAAGCTTCCAGCAACAGGAGAGGAAAGTAAGGAAGCTATAACGCAGGAGTCCGGAGCCGCCGCAAAACCACCATCTGCTCTTGCGGAGAACCTCAAGCCAAAGCCACAAAACTGGAAAAAGTCGGGATTGGCTCGCACCCAGAAGGGGTGCTCACTGCGCGCTCGCTGCGGTCGGGCACCGAGCGAGGAGCTGAGGACACAAAGGTGAGCAGCAGAGTCACAGTACCAGCTCTTTCGGGGCTCCCACTCCATCGGAGGAGGTAGATCATTTCCGTAAAGCTCGCCTAGCAAGGACAAGGTGACCAAGCATCCGAAGCCCACGGCAGGGAAAACTGAGCTAATCCTTTAATGTTAAAAGGCTTAAACTCAACTTGTCGGAAGTGACGTGCCAGCTGAGACCCGCAGGTCCACCACGTAATTGGCCGCCGACTCGGCGAGCCACCTTCTCCCGGGACTAACCTGGAGAGAGGAGCAGTGTAGCTCAATGTCCGCACCCCGCCCTTGCCCCGCCCCCGGCGGCTCCCAGCCCCAACCGGGACCAGCCCGAGCCGGGTCAGCGCCCGGGCCCACACCCTGGGCGGGACGGGCCCGCCTGCCCCGGCGCCCGTAGGCGCCCTGTGGGCAATGGGCTTCAGCGCTCCGCCACGCGCATGCGCGGCCCTCTTTCTCCAGAGGATTTCTCGGGTCACCTGGACGACTGCATTTCAGCCACCTGCCCCTCCGGGTCTCTTCTCGCCCTTCACTCCTCCTGCTGGTTCTCCCCTCCGGCCCCCCGCCTTCTCCTTGTTCCGCAGGCGCCGCTAGGCCCTCCCGCGGTCGCCCGCCGACACCCAGGCTTCCACTGACACGAGCCTCTCGGCGCGGCTTCCGCTTCCGGCGAGTATTGTGTGTCGCGCTGCGGGGCGGGGGCGGGGGGAGGAGGAAGGAGGGAGGCAGCGCTCCGGCGGCTCTGCGCCCCGCACTCCCGGACCCGAAGCCGGGAAGGTAGGTGCTGTCCCGCCGCCGCGCCGGGGCCTTGGGGCCTGCCCCTGCTGACCGGCTCCGCACGCCGCGTCCTAGCGCCCCGCGACTGCGTCACCGGCCCCCCGCACGTAACCACAGCTGCCTCCGCCCGCCTCGGGCCCGGGCGGACGTTTTGCCGCCCCGGCGACGTCAGCGCGTCCGGCGTTGCTTGGCTACCCCGCCGTTCCCCCGTCCCGCTGCCGCTCGCCTCCCCGGGTGAAACTCTTACGCCGTCACCGCGGCTCTCGGCTGCGTCATAGCGGCGGGCATCCCACCTTCACGTCACACCTCCTCCTCACCTGGACACGCATCCCTCCCTCCCTGCCAACAACGACGTTTCCTCTCCCCGCACTCCAGTCCCCCTGCGCCAGATCTGGCGGGAGAAGATGGAGACGGGGGTGGGACCGAGTTGTGGACCACGCTCAGGAAAGGGTTGCAAGGTGGGACCCCCGACAGTGGTAGAAACAAAATGAGGACGGCTTTGAAGTTTGCCCTTCTACTGAGACACGAGGAATAGAGGGGGAAAAATGACCAACCCAGAGACACCGAAGGCTTAACTAGTGCTGTAGCTCCAAGTCCTCTCCCCATACCTCCCTAACCTTTCCCCATTTCTCTTCCACACTACTTCTTTGCTAGTCTAGATCCATTCTGCCCCCTAACTCTGCATACAGTTCAACTCACCCCAGGTGAGGAGACCACCTAATTTCTAGAAGATTAGGGAAAGGGAAGGGTTACTCGTCAAAGTTGGATTCCCAGAGGTAGAGAAAAATCATCTGACTGAACTTCTCTCCTGGTTGAGGGAGGAAATTCAGGTCCAAATAAGCTGTCAGTTCCTACTCCAAATTAAACACTTTTCACGTGTGCCGTCAACATATACAGGAATAATCATTGTTAACCCAACTCATTACATGGCCACTTCTCTCTCAACACATAGACTTACTAAATTTCCTTCTGTTGGATCCCTTAGGGAGGGGGGTTAAGGGGATGGAGAAATCAACTATTTCATGGATAAAATTGGTGATGTTTTAAGGATGGAATAGAGGACCAGCCTTCTACTTTATAAATCTCTTAGATGCATTTCCAATTCTTTTGAGGCTTCGTTAGAAGTTTTTGATTGCCTCTTTACTTTTCTCTCTCTTAATTCCCAACCACTCCAGAACCTATTAGTTGGAGGTACAGTACATGCAAGGAGTTAGTTATTGATAACTATTTCAAAAGACTCCAGTCACTGCTGAATACTTAAAATAGACTTGTCAGCTCTCTCTTCAAAAAATTATTGCCCTGGGCTCAGTAATAGACTCTTAAGTTGCCATGAATTTATCACTTTTCAGCAGTTCCAGATGTCCAGATGCACTCAAATAGAAATGAGTTGTATGAATAATTTCATTCCAAGAAAAGGGCACACTTTCTCTAGGCTAGCCTGATAAAAGGAAGAATAATTTCAAACTTTCTGAAAAGAAGAGGTTGTCACCCTTGCCTAACTCATTCTATTTATTACCCTTTGAAAGACTGAGAGAACAGTGGCAGAGAATCAAGCTTAGGCTCCAATGGGCTATTGTAGTAAAACTCTTCTGTAATATTAAACTTTAAAATATACTCAATTTAAGAAATCTTAATTAATGCTTTGGCACTCTTCGCTTTCCCATACTCTTTTCTCATCTATTAGAAGAAGATGTCACACTAGGAATACATTGGTCTGAAACTATTGGTTCTAAGATACAAGTGGAATGAACCTGGATCAGGAGAAGTACTCAGCTAGAGTTGAAGGAAGCCTCTGTTTCTAGCAAGAGAAAGCAGTGGTAAAAGACAAGAGATTGAGGGTTGTGTGTCATTTTGCTGAAGAGAAAAAATTGATGGCTGGGAGTCACAAGTTTTAGAAATGGAGAAACAAAAGAGGTTGATGTAATGGAAGAGAAGATGTAAAATACTATGATGGGGCTAAATCTGGAGTTAGGATTTAACACGGGGGTAACTGTCAGGCCAGGGATGCAAAATAAACTAAACCTCCAACTGACTTTTTTTTCTCTTCTCCCATCCTAACCTCAAGTTAAATAATGGCAGAGACAAGCCTGTTAGAGGCCGGGGCCTCTGCAGCCTCCACAGCTGCAGCTCTGGAGAACTTACAGGTGGAGGCAAGTTGCTCTGTGTGCCTGGAGTATCTGAAGGAGCCTGTCATCATTGAGTGTGGGCACAACTTCTGCAAAGCTTGCATCACTCGCTGGTGGGAGGACCTAGAGAGGGACTTCCCTTGTCCTGTATGTCGAAAGACGTCCCGCTACCGCAGTCTCCGACCTAATCGACAGCTGGGCAGCATGGTGGAAATTGCCAAGCAGCTCCAGGCCGTCAAGCGGAAGATCCGAGATGAGAGCCTCTGCCCCCAGCACCATGAAGCCCTCAGCCTCTTCTGCTATGAGGACCAGGAGGCTGTGTGTTTGATATGTGCAATTTCCCACACCCACCGGGCCCACACCGTCGTGCCACTGGACGATGCCACACAGGAGTACAAGGTAGGGAACCAGACACATGATGCCAATGCAGGGCAGGAGGGAGGAGCACAGAGGATGGGAGACTCCCTGGGTAGAGGATTGTAAGTGTCTGAGGGCAAGACGGTATCTGATCCTCACTCTATAGTCCCCTCAGAGCTACGTACACGGGGGCACGCAGTATGTCTGATCAGTTATCCTCAGGCATGAAGAAGAGCAGTAAGGACTACCCAAAAAAATTCTGTCTGACTTTTGTAACACATCTGAGTATGTGTGGTCTTGGAATGTATCATATTTTTCATAAATGAATGAAACCATGTGGAGAAGATCAAACTTAAGAACTGAAAAATGGTCTGGTTTCTTCATTCTGTCCCCCTGCTCAGCACACCCCTTGTTTACCCACTGGTATTGGGAACAGGTATCAGCATTTTAGAATGATCCCCACCAGGCTAAGCTGAGCCAGTCTGTTTGCATCTTCCCCCAATAAAGGATAATATGGCATCTGGTTTAACTTACTGCTGGGACACAGGGTAAATGTTTGAGTAATAGGAATTAGAGATTTTAATGTCTTAGCACTTTATCAAGTACTTTGTGTAATTAATAAGTGTTAATAATGTTAATAAAATCTTGGAAATAAGACTTTATGGTAGTTTGCAGAATAAGTAATCAAGATTTTATTATATTGGTAAGTGGTTAGAATTGGATAGGAAAACAAGTTTAAAGAAGGATATCAGGGTACAGGAGGTCACTTTGACAGTAACAAGCAGTTCCTTGAGTTAAAAAATTAATAGGGCTGGGGAAAGACAGAGAGTTGGTGACAGTGGAACAGTGAGATTCAGTGAAAGGAAGGTTTGGTGAGCAAGGGAGGTGATGGAGACAGGCTGGTGGCAGGAGAAGGGACCTGTAGGAAGCTGACACCTCAAATGACAGGCCAGGAAGGGAGTTGGATCAAGAGACAGATGGATAGGAAGCAAACAAATGGTTTAAAACAAATGGGTTAGCCTCTGAACGTAGGATGTACTAGCCAACCCCAAATGCCATTCTCCCACTTCTCACCCCTCAGGAAAAACTGCAGAAGTGCCTGGAGCCCCTGGAGCGGAAGCTGCAGGAGATCACCCGCTGCAAGTCCTCTGAGGAGAAGAAGCCTGGGGAACTCAAGGTAAAGGCAGGCAATCCCATTTGGGCTGCTCTGCAGGCAATTAACTGAACATTAACCACACATTATTTAATCTACCAGTTCTGGTTTATTAGAAAAATGCTATTCTCTCAAAAAAAATGATATTTTATTAGGCTTGACTGTGATTAAACATTGTACTTAAATTGTCATGGATTAAGAATTGAGGAGAAGGATGTAAGAAGTGAAGGACAGAACATCTTATATCTGGCGAGTTGAGGGAGTTCATGCCCCTTGGCCTCCTTTTCTTTGTAAAGCAGGGAAGGAGGCTCTCTGCTGAGAGATCCTTAGAGGGATTGAGGAAAGGAGAATGTGGAAGGTGCACTGGGGAGGAAGGATGAAGGAGCTGCCCAACAGCACCCGGAAGAACCTCCCAGCAACATTAGGACCACATTCTCTTAATTCAAGTAAGCTCAAGTATGCTGGATGATAATGGTTCCGAGAATGTTCTTACCCCCCTCATCCTCTACCTATAGGATCCTGTCCATCCTAAGATGAAAACCACTTCCTATGTAGCCTTTCCTGACCCTTTAGAAATTAGCTTTCTTAATTTTCATACAGTTTCACATCTCTTTCATAGCATTACCATATTTGTAGCATGGTAGTTTGGTATCTGCCTTATTTCTTCTGTTGGACAGTGAAACATGTATTAATTATAGTGGTAATAATACCTAGTATTTATTGAATCCTATGCATTAATTCCTTAGGTGTCCATGACATTCCAAACTTAGAAGATTGTATTAGGTCTGCCCAGTTTTTCTTTTTTGTTTTTTGGTTTGTTTTTTTTTGTGGTACGTGGGCCTCTCACTGCTGTGGCCTCTCCCGTTGCGGAGCACAGGCTTCAGACGCGCAGGCTTGGCGACCATGGCTCACAGGCCCAGCCGCTCCGCGGCATGTGGGATCTTCGCAGACCGGGGCACGAACCCGTGTCCCCTGCATCGGCAGGCAGACTCTCAACCACTGCACCACCAGGGAAGCCCTGCCCAGTTTTAAGTTCTAAGAGTTCAGGCTATACTTGGCCCAAGTGGGACATAGAGGAGGTACAAGACAAGGAGAAGGGAGTCCAGGAAGTCATATTTGACAAGAGTGAACTTAGATACCCTGTAAGGTAAGTATTGTTATCCCCAGTTTACACAGTAGGAAACAGAACTTGGATAAGTGTCTAGTCCAAGATCATATAGCCAGTATGTGCAAAATCAGAGATACTAATTCTGCAGAAATTAGTAAATATTTACTAAGCTTCCAGTATAGGCCAAACCCTGTCTTTGACACTGGGGAACAATGATGAGCAAAAGCACAGTCCCTGCCCTCCTTGAGCTTACAGTCAAGTAGAGAAAATATAAATGACATGGCACAAAAAGCACAGTTGCATATTCCTAAGAAGACAGCAGAGAAACTTGATTGCATTAAAGGCTTCCAGAAGAAATAATGAGTTTTTGGAGTTGAGATTTAGGGATCACCAGAAATTAAACACAGGTTTGAAATCAGTAGAAACACTATTTTTTTTTTTAACAATGACATTTCAACAGGAAGCAAGTATTATTACCTTAGTCCTTTATACATTTTAACAAACAAACATTTGAATTTTTTTTAAATTTGAACTAATTTTGATTGCAAAGGTGAACGTTAAAAAAAAAAAGTTATTTGTCCTTTTGGAGGGCTCCTGAAGAACTTAAAATATGTGAAAATGAAGCTTATTCCCAGTCATTAGCTTTCCTCTTCCTGTTGATCACCTTCTTAAAGGTAAAGGATGGAGAGGGGAATAAAAATTTTAAAAACCTGCTAAATAGGGCTTCCCTGGTGGCGCAGTGGTTGAGAGTCCGCCTGCCGATGCAGGGGACATGGGTTTGTGCCCTGGTCGGGGAAGATCCCACATGCCGCGGAGCAGCTGGGCCCGTGAGCCATGGTCACCGGGCCTGCGTGTCCGGAGCCTGTGTTCTGCAGCGGGAGAGGCCACAACAGTGAGAGGCCCGCGTACCACAGAAAAAAAAAAAACCTGCTAAATGCTTGAACAGAACTGTGGGTTTTTTTTGTTTAATGTATATTATCATTTTAATGGTCTCGGAAACTGTCACCAACTACCAGCATTCCTTCAGTGACCTTTTGAACTCTCTCCCTCATCCCCACCTCCAGACCCAATGCCCCTTTTAGAAATAAATAATTTGTAATTAATCATGCTGAAATGAAAATTATGGATAAAATGATCTATCCATATAATTTTTAAAAGAGACTATCATGCCCAAATATAGTGTAATATAATACAACATAAAAGTAATTTATAATAAAATCTGGTATGTAAACATTTAGGCATGACTACCCTGAAAGACACTACAGTGTAGTTTTATCCTTGCACCTATATCAACATGCAACAAATACAAATTCAGACTGACGGAATTGTGTAGTAATGTTGACTCGAATGCCACTAGCAGTTTAGCTGTTGGTGCCATAATTTTTCAAAATGATAAATAACTTACAGTAAAGTTCTAAGAAAAACAAAATACAGTCTTAATGAGTTTTCAGCCATTCCTGAAAAATTCAGGTATATTAAAACCATATAAGAATTACTCTGTGTTTGTATATAAAGTGGCATTCAAGTCTAGGACTCCATTTTTTTAATATCCAGCAGAACATTAGAAAATGGTGCAGTTCATATTACTGGGTTGTCTTCACACATTGGAGGAGTGTTAGCATCCTTCCCAGGAGCTCCCCCAATCATGCAAACAAAAATGCCCCCTGTTTCCAAAACATTTCTAGAGGGAGGTAACACCCTGATTAAGAACCACTGCCCTACAAAATAGAGGGAAAAAAAGAGAAGGGATTATGAGATTATACGAGAGCCCTTTGCTTTCTTTTTACCACAGTTATGAACCTAAATTCTACCCATACATCACCCCTAAACACACAGACACACAGGAAAAAAGGCTGTGTTTTACTTAATGGTAAATGTTGTGAGAATATATTTTGTTCCAACATGCTCCTGAGGAGGCAGCAGTGAAATGGGAAGCAGCAAGCAGCTCTAGAACTGGAGCTAGTCAGCCTCTGCTGGGAACTAGCTTGAAATCTAGAAACACAAGGCTTGTAAGGCCCACCTGGCTTTGCAGCCCCACTCTCTATTCACCCTCAACCCTGCCTTCCAGGCCCTATCCACTTCCTTCTTCCAGAGTCCCAGTCTCTGCTTCTAACTTTGCTTTCCTCTTGGCTGATTCCTCCCCATCAGACACGTGATGCTTAGGGAATCCTTTGGGGAGATCACTTCTTGTTGCCATTGAGGTGCAGAAGGGAGGATATGCCTGCTGATAACTCTCAGAATGCGTTATGGCTGGAGTTTGGGTCATATATTATCCAGTTTCAGAAATGTTAGAGGTTTAACTGAAAGAAAGCATGTTTCAAATTTCAAGCAAATAATTTACTCACAAACTTCTATAACCTGTTTCTGGGGTGTAAACTGTCAGTCTCTGAAGTGACTTGAAACTGTTGAACAGGTTCAGCCTTGAAATCTACATTTATAACAACCCGTTACTAAAATCTTGTTGATTCTGATATTTTTCCAGTTGCTTCTCTGGTTTTTATCAAGTAAATGTCTTGCAATGTACAAATGATAACAATCTCAGACTTTCCAGTACTTTCCTTTTCTTGACAGATTGCATTAACTAGAACTTTAGAGTAGGCGATAGCAGAGGTATCTCTGATATCTGTAATAGTACATGTCATATTATTGGGTTCTTATGTCTTGAATATTTTTACTAAAACATAGAAGTGTAGCTTTTTTAGAAGCTAATTTAATAAAGAAGATAAATTTTTTAACATTGGTTTATTTTTTTATCTCCCCAGTGTTCTTCATCCCATCATCAGTAGGGTGACAATGAGGATGGAGACATTCTTTTCTTTTCTTTTTTTAAAATTTTTATTGGAGTATAGTGTAGAATATTTTGTTCATTTCTACTGTACAGCAAAGTGAATCAGCTATACGTATATATATATATATATCCCCTCTTTTTTGGATTTCCTTCCCATTTAGGTCACTACAGAGCACTGAGTAGAATTCCCTGTGCTGTACAGTAGGTTCTTATTAGTTAGGGATGGAGCCATTCTTTACAAAGGGAAATTCCAGTGGAGAGAAACATGAGTGTCCTGTTAAGCTCTTTCCAATGACACTGGAAGTCTGTGTGAATTCATACACATGGTGGGTGGGGAAAGGCACTTTATGCCCCACTGGCCCTGTTAAACATAATACCCACCCTCTGTTCTCAGAGACTAGTGGAGAGTCGTCGACAGCAGATCCTAAAGGAATTTGAAGAGCTTCATCGGCGGCTGGATGAAGAGCAGCAGGTGTTACTTTCACGACTAGAGGAGGAGGAACAGGACATTCTACAGCGCCTCCGAGAAAATGCTGCTCACCTTGGAGACAAGCGCCGGGACCTGGCCCACTTGGCTGCTGAGGTGGAGGGCAAGTGCTTACAGTCGGGCTTCGAGATGCTTAAGGTTCGACCTTTGCCCCTGCATAGCCCCTCAGGCCAAGCGCAGTCTAGCTTTGCACAGGCCATTCTGTCAGCCTGCAATGCTCACTCCTCCGCTCTGCCTCTCTAAATCCAATTCTTTCTTCCAGACAGGCTCAAAGGATCTTTCTCTACAGAAAGCCTTCTCTGATTTCTCCCATCCCCTTCTGATCATTTTGGTGTTCTTATGTCTTGTCAACAATTATGTGCTTAACTTGTACCAAAGAAAAAATTCACTCTTTTGAGAGGAGGGCAGTCTAGTCTGAATTAGTGAAAAAACTATGCATTAAAAATTGTGTAAATGCAGTAACCGTTACTTTTAAGTCCTGGAACTTGATTTACCTAGTGCACAGAAAGAATAGAAGCATAGTTTGAAGGACACTTGAAATAATGTATAAGTAATATATTGCTTTTGATATGTAAATGTGCCTCTAAAATGTTTGAAATAATCTGTTTTCTTAAGCAAATGAATGGTCTTAGCAAGGCTGCAGGAAACATTTCTTATCTTAGAGCTCACATTACCAGCATTTGAATCAGTGAGGCTTCGTTGTACATTTATCTGCATGTTATATATTGCTTGGTATTTACTCTCGTGTCCTTTCATGTATGTGTGTTCTGCCTTCCACATTAAACTGGGAAATCCTTGGGGGGCAGAGATTTGTCTTCTTTGTCTTCTGGACCCCAAGTATTCACAAATCAGGATTGGCACACAGTTATTAATATTTATTAACCAATACTAGACAAGGGATACCAAACCACAACGGGAGAGTGTGATTCGTTCCTATGCCAGCCGTCTGGAACTATCTGTACTGATCCTCAAGGAGACAGGTGTGTGGTTGGTACTTGGGGGACAGAGTAAAGAGCAGACACAATCCCTGTCCCTGGCATTGAGTCCCAGTGTTCTTGAGGAACAAAGACAAGCACACAAGAAACTATTTGGAAGTGATATCAATTACCAAGCTTCATGATGACTGAGAGTTGAAAGTGGGGGTTAGGTTGGGAGAGATGTACTCAGATCCCTCTGGAGCTCGGCCCCTTGCACTGTGACCCATAGTTTGCCTTATGCCTATTTAATAGATCTAGAACTTTTGGGAGGAGGGAAACCTTTTGCCTTTAGGACCCTTGACTACCAGGACCAATATTGCTTTCTTTTCTCCTTCCTCTAGGATGTCAAAAGTACCCTGGAAAAGTAAGTGATTCTTGTATCTCTTTGAGTGAGTTAGGTCTTGGCTTAAAGAGTAGGGCTACAATAAGGAGTTGGGGGAATAAGGATGGGAAAGTCATGCAGTGTCTGGGCAGAAAAAGGGAGAAGGTTTATTGCATCCATGAAGCCAGTTAGAGAGCAAATCACTGGGAGTACTAGTCCCTTACCTTTTCCCTCTGAGCATCAGGACTTCCTAGATACAAAGATAATGAAATAGAACCAGATTCTACCTGGGCCTATGGGTGGAATTGTGTCCAAACAAGATGGAAGGAGGAACTGGTTGGGGGCGGGGGGGAGGTGGTTATTTATTTGCATGAAATATAACAGTACCTCCAGAAAGTTCTAAGACTGATTATTAAGATAAGGGTTTGTCTAGGGGACCATATGGCTTTCCATAGATAGGCAAAAGAAAGCAATAAGCAAGAACTTGTCTTGAGGGAGGAGAAAGTGTGAGGATGGAGAATTTTAGTTTCTCCCTAGAGATGACAACATCTTAATACTCACTAAGCTGGAGCTTCCCCTGACCCTGCCCTTTCTTCCCCTATCTTCCCATCCCTCCTAGATGTGAGAAGGTGAAGACCATGGAGGTGACTTCAGTATCCATAGAGCTGGAAAAGAACTTCAGCAATTTCCCCCGACAGTACTTTGCACTAAGGAAAATCCTTAAACAGCTAATTGGTGAGTTGTTCCCAAAAGGAAACTAGCAGAGGGAATCGACAGAGAGAAGAAAGTCTTTAGGTCCTACTTTATCTGGACTTCACTTATCCCCTCTGTCACTTTTCATGTCCATATTCACACCCACTCCTTTACCTGGTTTTCAATCTCACTCTGAGTCACAGAGCTCAAAGTGAGAAGCCTCAGGTGTCGCCTACTCTTAGTCCCATACTTTTCTAAATAGGGACCCAGAGAGGTTAAATAATTTGCTGAAACTGGTCCCCTCTTGAGAGTGAAAGGGAGTCTTATTAATACTTACTTGGAAAATAGTCATAAGCCAGACTGTCCAGGGAAACAGACACATGGTCACTGTATCGCTAGACTATAATGCTATCTGGCTCTGTACCCTTCTTAACATTTTTATTTTTTCTTACCATTGGACTGTGCCTTGTGCTTCTCCACACAGTGAGATGGATGATGATGTCGGGGGGGATGGAGGGAGGACCAGGCAGGAGCCTAAACCACCAGCCCTTGCAGAGTCAAGAGATCATTACCTGTTTATTTTAGGGCCAGGATGAGAAACGAAGCCATTGTTCCCTCCCCTCCCCTCCCTTAGGTGACACCAAGGATTGAGAAAGTTAAGCAAACCACGGGGTTCTGGGGGCTTTCAGGGAGCAGGCTCTGCAAAGGCAGGCTGGAAGAGTGAGGCAGGGGCGTTTAGCTATTCCCGTCCTCATCTAGCTCCCCACTCTGGCTTCTCCCGCCAGCGGATGTGACCCTGGACCCTGAGACTGCTCATCCTAACCTAGTCCTGTCGGAAGATCGTAAGAGCGTCAAGTTCGTGGAGACAAGACTCCGGGATCTCCCTGATACACCACAACGTTTCACCTTCTACCCTTGTGTCCTGGCTACTGAGGGTTTCACCTCAGGTCGACACTACTGGGAGGTGGAGGTGGGCGACAAGACCCACTGGGCAGTGGGTGTGTGCCGGGACTCTGTGAGCCGAAAGGGCGAACTGACCCCACTCCCTGAGACTGGCTACTGGCGGGTGCGGCTGTGGAACGGGGACAAGTATGCAGCCACTACCACACCTTTTACCCCTTTGCACATCAAGGTGAAACCCAGGCGGGTAGGCATATTCCTAGACTATGAGGCCGGTACACTGTCTTTTTACAACGTTACAGACCGCTCTCATATCTACACCTTCACTGATACTTTTACTGAGAAACTTTGGCCCCTCTTCTACCCAGGCATCCGGGCTGGTCGGAAGAATGCTGCACCACTTACCATCAGGCCCCCAACAGATTGGGAGTGACAGGTAGGGACGTGGGAATAATCAGGGTGAGGCAGGGTCAAGAGCTACGGGCCTTCCTTCCTGTGACCTGCTGGAACGTCTTCGTGTCTGCCTGGTTCCAGTCCTGAACCATCTGGGAGAACACCTTGGTTTCTAGAATGGTTTATGGGGAGGAGTAGTTAGGACTGGGCTGGGACGAGAGCACTGCAGTGTCTCCCTCCTCACTGTTAGGGTGGAGAGCTGGTTCCCAGGGGGTAGTCTCCTCTGAAGTCCATCAGGTTTTCTGTTGCACAAGGATGGGTTGGAAGGAAGGAGAGGCTTTTCCAGAAACAACAAGTCTGTGGGAGGGTCTGACTTGCTCAAACCAGAGGAGGAAACAGAACCCCCTGTACATCCTTTTAGGGGGTTCTTTGACCCAAAACAATCTTGTTTTTTTAGGAAGATCACAGGGGTCTTGGTACCTCTAAATTGAAATAAAGATGAATGACAGTTGCTCTCGTGGGTGTAGAAGTTGAGGAGTTATTTTCAGGGCAGAGATTGGGCATCAAGAAGGTTAGAAATAAGGTCAGGAAAGGGGGCTAAATGAACAGATTCCTAAAGAATAATGAAGGGGAGAAGGGTTTCTTTGGTTGCCATTATGAGTAGGATTGGCCAGAGGTAGGAATGTGGGGAGGAGGGGGTAGGAAGAAAGAGAACCCAGGTCCCTGCCTTAGCCTTCAGCAGAGATGGCTCATCGCCCACCTCCTTGTAGTTGCTCATCTCCACGAGCTGTTACCTTGCTCATCTGGAGAGGCAAGATGCAAGAGATCCTGCAAGACACATCTACCCTTTCACTGCTTTCCCAAGGGAACTTGGAAAGGAGAGAGTCAGGTATTAGAGGAAAGAGAAAAGTATTCCTATCCAAAGCCCTGGCCTTAAAGAATGCTACTAAGTAGCTACTCCCAAGTTGTCAGCCTTGTTACCTGGCTAAGGTGTCCAAGCCAGACAGGGAAAAAGAAAACGGAGTCTTCCTCACCCTGGGGACAGGGTAGAAGAGGGTGGTATGTATAGGGAAGGGCCAGATAGGCAAGTTCCTTTGGCCTGTGTGCATCTGGCCTGGAACTAGTGTTCACAAGAGCCGGATTTTGTTTGTTGCCATCCTTCACCTTTTGCCATTTCTCATATCAGAGAATGTAAATCATTTTAATGTTAGGCCAAAATAAACAACCTGTAGGGTACATATGTTGTCAAAAAAGGTAAAGCAATGCATGCCAAACCAAACTAAAATGACTGGATTATCTGCTACTTGGGTAATCAGGGGTTCACAGAAGATTAGGACAAGAAACTGCAGTTTATTGAGGGCATTTCAGCTGCTCCTACCACCTCAACAGGACTTTGTCCAGACTCTCCTCTTACCTTTGTGCCTTGACTGTGGTTCTTTGTGGCAAGATGCTTTGGTTGGTAAAACATAATATGGAACAAAGGATCCACTGAAGTGATCTATGTGTCCTGTGTTAATTTGATGATAATCTCTGTTGATGTGTAAGAAATGGGTGTTAAAAATGCATGTTCCTTGGAATTCCCTGGTGATCCAGTGGTCAGGACTCCACGCTCTCACTGTCAGGGGCCCAGGTTTGATCCCTGGTCGGGGAACTAACATCACACAAGCTGCACGGCGTGGCGAAAAAAAAAAATTGTGTTCCTGGGGCTTACCTTCAGTGGTTGATCAAGGTCTGGAGTGGGCCTGGGCATCTACCTTTTAAACACTCCTCATTTGAGCCTGGAGACACTTGTGAAACTAATCTGAGAGGAAATTTCAGCCATTTCCTTCGAACTGGAGGCCTGGTTCCCTGTCCAGCCTGATGGGGGGTGAGGAGGAGGGGGTCTGAGAGGAGAGAACCCTCATTCTCTCCTGACTTATTCTGCCCTCTCCCCATCTCAGGATTTATTCATGTTCTGTCCCTCTACTTAACCTCAGGAACGAGTGGTTATTAACTATGAAGCAGAAGTAATCACAGGATGTCAAACAGAGCAAAGGAGAGGCAGAGGTCTAAGGGAGGGAAGTGAGGAAAGCGTGTGGAACACTACACGGGATATTTTTTCGGGGGCAGGGGATGCTTTTGACAGGTTTCTTCCAGTACCTAAGACCAGGAGTTAGTGAGGATCACCTACTTACTGTGTGTCCAGCACTGCATTTTGGTAAGTGGAAAAGATTGGGAGTAAGCTGTGCTTTCTAAGGGCCAGGAGCCCTCTTCCCTCCCTCCACTGCCCTCAAGATCCTTTCCAATTTCACTGTCACTGGCACTAGTGGGTTTTTTGAATGTATCAACTGCTCCTTCAGTCTGTAGGTCTTCCGGGCATCTGCCTTTGGCTTCAGGAGCATAGGGCAGGAGGTCTAGCCGGGTATATATTGCACATAACCATCTCCCCAACCTATCTGCATAAAGAGACCAGTCTTCTGTCCTGAAGATGTTTAGCAGTTTAAGATTCTCTCCTGCTCCACTAACCTCTCCAGTCTCTACCTAATATAATCATGGGCTTGAGGAAGACTAAAAGGGAGCCAAAACTCATAAAGGAACCCCTGGCTTGGATTGCAGGGGATGGTGTGGGTTTGCAAATAGATGGGTCTGTGAGGCCGCAGGGTGTCGCCAGAGTGAGGACGGCACAGGAGCGCGCACGGCCCCAGGAACTACAGTTCCCAGGAGGCCTTGCGCGGACGCCCGGGAGCGGGGCTACCCTAGGGTGGGGCCTGTGGACTGCGGCGTGTGGGGAGCTATCGCGGCTCGGATGGCCGGGCAGGTGAAGGACCGCGAGGCCTTCCAGAGGCTCAGCTTCCTGTACCAGGTGAGTCCGCGTTGCGGCGCACGCACAGGGAGGCGGCCCAGTGCGGAGGGCCCCCACTGACGGCTCCTTCCCTCAGGCTGCCCACTGCGTCCTCGCGCAGGACCCCGAGAACCAGGCACTGGCGAGGTTTTACTGCCACACGGAGAGGACCATAGCGAAGCGGCTCGTATTGCGGCGGTGAGAGGGGTGCGGAGCCCGGCGGCCGGCTGGACGGGGGAAGGAGGGGAGAGGGAGAGCGGGCGCCCAGACCACCACCCACCTCCGCCCCCAGGGACCCTTCGGTGAAGAGGACCCTCTGTCGTGGCTGCTCTTCCCTCCTCATCCCGGGCCTGACCTGCACCCAGCGCCAGAGACGTGAGTGCTCCCTGCTGCCGAGGGGGGATGTTTGAGGAACACCTGTGGGCTGGGGGAGGGCACGGGCAATGATCCGTTCCTCGATGTAGATGGGTGCCAGGTGTGGGATTTGGAGGCGTCGGCTTTCTCCAGCTCTGAGTTAACTTAACTCCACTTGGACAAACTAGGTCTGGGCGGTAGAGAAATGATGTTGCCATGAGAAGCAACCTCGCCTGTGCATGATAATAGATGTTATTCGACATCATGGAGGACATGATTCCCATATTCATTCATTCATTAAATAATTATTTTTCTGAGATGTGTCAAGTATTGCTCTAGAGTCATTATTCTCATGAAATTATAGTCTGATGGGACAGACTAAGACAGAAACAATTAGAATAGCGTAGAAAAATGCTTTAATTAGGGAAGTAGAATACTAAGTTACTTAAACCAGTGATGGTGAGGTTCATTATAAGGGAAGGGAGTGGGAGATGGAAATCCTAGGCATTTGTGAGGCCTCAGACAAGAGAGCTTGTGGTGCTGTCAAGGAACTGAGAGCCCAGGAGGCTGGCTCTGAGGTGGGCAAGGGCAAGACAGGAGGCCGGAGAGGGAAACGGCAGATCTTGAAGAGTCTTGTTAAGGAGTTTGGACTTTATCTTAAAGGGTACCAAGAGGGACTTCCCTGGTGGTCTAGTGGTTAAGACTCCGCGGTCCCAATGCAAGGGGCCCAGGTTCAATCCCTAGTCAGGGAGCTAGATCCCGCATGCAGCAACGAAGATCCCGCACAACCCGCACGCTGCAACAAAGATCTCACGTGCTGCCACTAAGACCCGGCACAACCAAATAAATAAATAAAGGGTACCAAGAAAATGACAGACTTTATGCAGAGACCTGACACCATCAAATCAAGGTGGGGAGGGAGTAGAATCCCTACTGGAAAACGGTGGAGGCAAAACTGGGTGCAGGAGACCTTTTCTTATCCTAAACCTGGGCACTCTCTTTTCCCCACATGCACCCCAGGCTGCAAGGCTCAGCGCTGGACTGTACAGACCTGCCTGACATGCCAGCGCAGCCAACGGTTCCTCAACGATCCTAGGCATCTGCTCTGGGGAGACCGGCCTGAGGCCCAGCTGGGGAGCCAGGCAGGTGAGAGGTGGTTGAGAAAATGGGGGGTACCCCAGGGGAGTAGGGACAGTGGGTAACATAGAGCTGCGGTGGACACATTGGTGGGTTCTGGGTTGGTGTGAAAGGTGCCACAGTCTTAAAAAACTAATTCTGCTCATCTACTCAGATCCCAAACCACCACAACCCCCGCCAAACACAACCCACCGCATTCCAGCCCACCTTCCTGAGGAGAAAGTGCAGCCTCAGAGTTCCAATCGCCAGTGATGGATTCACCCCGTCTTCCAAATAAATTTTAATTCTCTTTAACTTTGCATGATTCTGTTCTATATTTCAGCTCTTAACTTCATTTTCCTCTGTTTCTGTCTGTATTTCTCTGTCACCAGCTAACCTCTTCTTTGTCCTTTTAGTCCTTTGTCATTATCATCCTCATACTCCCACCATTCAGGGAGATCCCAATTACCACTTGGCCCCATGAAGCAGCTCCCACTTCCAGGACCCTGCCTCCAGTGCCCCTCCAGCCCTGCTTCCTCAGTGCAGTGCCACGATTGGAACGCAGGCTCCAGGGTTGTCTGCGAGGCCCTGATCCTCCTTAAGGCAGTCCATTTTTAGGTAGCCCTGACTGTTGGCTAAAGGGCTGGACAGACAGACTGCTGATGCCACTGATGCTGTTTTTAAAGGAGGGAAAAAAAGTTTGGGTGGGGTTGGTGGAGGGAGGGTTTAGATTCTCCAGGCCCACTTCCTTTTGCGTCTTTTCCCAATCTCTGTGTTTTCTTCTATAAAATTCTACTAAGAGAAGTTGTACAACCTGAACTAATAAAGTCAAAGGTACTAACAAATGGACACTGTCAAATATTACACAAGTAAGTTCTGTAGGTAAACCTTCAAGGTTTTCTTGAGAATCAGTAAACAACCAAAATTGTTTTATTTGCTATCCCTGGACAATTTACTCGAAGTCAGAATTTCAGACTGACCTCTTTGCTAGGTGCCAGCTAATCAGTTTACCCCAAAAGTAGACAAACAAAATTCACTCTTCCCAGAATGCAGTTTCCTCTCTTCCCTTTCTCTTGTAAATCCTGGTTGCACTTATTCATTGCTGCATAAAAATCACTGCATAACGTTGTAGCTTAAAACAGCAATGATGTGTTATTTCCCCTGATTCTGTGGGCTAGACTGATTGAGGGCCTGTCTGGGTGGTTCTTCTGTTCCGTATGGCATCAGCTGGAATCACTCAGCTGCATTTAGCTGGAGGCTGGTACCTGGTCTGGAAGACTCAAGAAGCTTCATTTGCATGTGTGCACCTCATTGCTTCTCCATGTGGCCTTGCTCTGTAACTGGCCTTGACGTCCTCACAGCATGGCTGTCTCTGGGTGGTTGGACTTCCTTACAAAGCTTCTGGCTTCCACAGAGAGTATTCCAAGAAGACAAGCTCCATGGTGCAAGTGCTTATCAAGCCTCTGTCCTCGTCACGCTTACTAATGTCACCTTGACCAGAGTAAGTCATGTGGCCAAGCCCACGTTCAGTGTGGAAGGGGCTACACTGGGGCGTGGATACTTGGAGGTTCATTGGTGCCTTGAGGACCACCAGTGTAGCAGTCTACCACATCCTTGTTTTGCCTTTGTCCCTGACTCATTCTCTTCACTGATTCCTTCACATGCCAGTACACTGTATGCATGGAAAATACTTACCAGTGTGCAAGTAACTAAATGTTTCTAAGTTATTCTTTGACGTTTATTTCTGGAGATAGTACTCAACGGGTCAGCTGTAGCAGCCAACACAAACATGTAGCCTGAAGGTGCACCCCATGCAGGCCTGGACGCTTTGTGTCCTCAGCTCACCTTCCTTGGTTCCCTCCTTGAGTGTCATTTCTGAGCTGGTTGGTTCTTATGCACTAAATCTGATTCTTGGCCAAGTTGTTTTGAGTGTGTTTATGATTGCACATGACTGAACATGTCCACAGTGGGATAGCACTGGGGTTCCTCTAACTAGAGATCATAGCCCTCTTCCTCCTCCTCCCAAAACTCTGTCCTTTTTCATATTTACTTATTATGATAGAATAGTTGTCAGTATGTGCAAAAATGGATTTCCTATAACAAAGAGGAAATCAAAGCCCTATTATTCAATAGTTTTCTTTAATGTTTCTAAACAATTCAATAATTCAAAATCTGTGCTCTTTTAGGACCTGT